TTATTTATATATATATATATATATTTATATTTTATTTCTTCATATGTTCAAAATAAGAATTTTTATGTTTTGTATAACTAGTGTTATAAGTAATAAAGCTTGATTCATTTATGTATAACGCATTTTTAAGAAATAATTGTTGATAATTTTGACATTGTCCTGACACAATTCTGAAACGTATTCTGAAAATACCATAATAACATATTCTGGCCCAAGTAGCAAGATGACATCATGACGATGATTTAAAGTCATTTTTCGTCATTCGTCGTCAGTGTATTAAATAATGACGTAAAATAAACGTAACAATAATAACTTAAAACAAATGTTATAAAATTAAGTAACATCGAGCAGGATCTCTAAGTGACCGGTTTTAGAAACGATGAAATAGATAAAAAAGATGTTTCATTACTTTCTCTCTTTTTTTTCATTTTTTTATTTTTTTCAATTATTTTCCGTAAGGGGTGTCACATATATTAGATTCTATAGTAGCAATCAATATCAGAATGCGATCATTTTCAGGATGGCCCTGAAGTCATCATGAAATCATCCTAAAGTCGTCTTAAAAAAGTCCTCAGGATAGCCTGAGGCTGAGTGGAGAACGTCCTGAGGACGTCTCGAGACCGTAATAAGACGCTTATTTGCTAGTCCACAGGACGTCCTGTTTCAGGATCATAATAGATAGTCTTCAGGATATTCGGCTCATTTAATAAGACATCCTGAGAACGTCCTGAGATTGTTCTTGTATTATTAGGGATGTGTAAAGTATGCTGGCGAACAAACCAAACAATGCTCAAAAAAGGAGAGACAATGTAACATGTGTTCTCTGTACCGGAAGCTCACAAACTACAAGAAATGTTCTGTCTACAAACAATTGCAGAAAACCAGATTTACAAGTCTTAGACCTAAATCAATATTATTTCTCACTCCAGAACAAGCTGCACAGACAACGCAAAGAAAGAAATGCAATGGTATCATACTCCAAAGAAGTATAGCAGCCACCCGTACAAGATCTTACGATCAATAATAGCAATGAACATTGACAAAATAAAAATAATAAAGAACTTATAGAAATGTTAAAACAACTGATTCAACAAATAACAAATACGATAAAACATGATGTATAATCTTATTCCCAAATTAGCACTACATTTGATAATTAAATATTGTAGTATGGAATGCCAACATTTGTTTGTTACAACATTCTGACGAATTAAAAATATTTCTTAAGGCATGCAACATTACGTTAATCTCAGAGACACATTTCACAAGAAGAAGCTTCTTAAGAATACCAAAATATAAACTATATCACATCAACCACCCTGATAGTACAACTCATGGAGGTACAGCAATCATTAGAGATAGCATAAAATATCACGCAACTAATTCATATAATAAAAATCGTCTTCAAGTCACTAGCATTGTGATCGAAGATTAAACCGATCCCATAATCTTATTAGCAGT